TGATGCTGCTTGGCCTGCTGTGTTCATCCAGCCTTGCACCTTGTTGTCTCGGATTCTCCAGCATCTGCAGTTCCTACTATCTCTGATGAAATTCATACTATCCCTTTATCCCAGCAATATCCCTACAAATACCAAAATTCCAATGAAGAGTTAACACTGCTCTCCTCAAGGCCTTTTGCTGGAGCTAATATACTTTCACCTGGTTATCTTCCAGCGAATTTCTGCATATTAATGAATTGCTTTTTCCTTCAGCTTTATGCCTCGAAGGAACCTAAAAAGCTACCTGCAAACTGAACTCCCTATTTCTTTAATTTCAGAAAACACCAGTTTTTTTTTTCCTAAACCATGGTTCAAGCAGTCTCTGGCACACATCCACTGAATGAGAGACTAACTTGTGGATTTTTTTTCTTTTTTTTTATCCCTGGGCCTCCTGCTGGCAAGCAACAAAGCTATTATCCCTTTTTTTTAAAAAATGCACTGAACTGCTCACCTTCAACTCTTTACTGCAAGCACTGTAAAACCTTATTGAAAATGAATACAAACAAATGGACCTCTCAATTTCCTGCACCAAATCTATGAAAATTCAAAGGAAACTAAAACATGCTTACCCTTTCGTAATGTAAAATAGAATTAAAGTTATACATTGTTCCTATTAAATCTGAGTAAACCTAAAAGGGACGAGTGACTGTTCAATTTCCAAAACATCCTAAATTATCTGATCTCAATCAGAAGTCTCAAAACGAGTCTGGAAACAAAACCCATCAACTAGGGTCCTACTCCTCCCTAGTTTAGTTCTACTGGTCAAAAAAATGTATGGCAGGTGTCAAAAGAACTTTTATGGGTTTTAGATTTTTGGTTTATTGGGACAGCTTCCCCAGTAGGTCGGACCTGTACAAGCTGGACAGGTTGTACCTGAAGCAGAATGGGTCCAATATCTTTGCTGTGATGTTTCCTCATGCTGTGGAGAGGTTTTAAACTGATTTGGCATGGGGATAGAACACAGAATAGATGTAAAGTCAGGAGCAAAGTTTAATCAGTTATAGAAAGAATGCTAGCACAGACCAGCAGGCAGAGAAGACAACATGCAGCAGAAGGCACGTGGGAGGCCAGAAAGCTAAATTGTATCAATTTTAATGCACGGAGCTTGACTTGTAAGGTGGACGACTTATAGCATTTATCAGCACATGGGAATAGGACATTGGTGTAGTCACTGAGATATACATGGCTGAAGGAAAGACAGCTCAACATTCCAAGGTGGAGAAGTTTCAGGTATGATTTTTAACTTTTTTTTGTGTCAGTGGGGGGTTGGGGGGGGGGGCGCGGTGTTGGAGAAGACAGGGGTCTTGCATCACTGTTAAAGGAAACCATCACTGCAGTGACAAGAAACAACATTCTACAGCATAAAAATTAAAAAAAAAAATTATACTACAGGCCTCACAACAGTCAAAGAGAGATAGAGGAGCATATATGTAGGCAAATCACAAAGGTGAGACAGAAACAGGGGACTTCAACTTTGCTAACATTAACTGGGATCATCTTAGTGTGAAAGGATTAGATGAGGTGGAATTTTTCTTAAGTGCATCCAGAACAGTGTTTTGTGCCAGTATGGAAGTAGTCCTCCTAGAGATACAGCAGTGCTAGATCTGAGCCTAGGAAATGAAGTCAGCCAAGTGGTTAAGTTTCAGTGGGCTAGCAAACATGGACCATGGAATATCTTTTTGCAAATGGGCTAAAAGAAAACTCCAAAGCGTTTAAAAAGCATGTAAGAGTAAGAGGATTTCCAGGGAAAGAGTGGGACCTACTGGAGACCAAAGGGACAACCTGTACATGGAACCAGTGGACATGGGTGGGGTCTTAAATGAATACTTCTAATCTGTATTCGCAGAAGAGACAGACATTGTAGCTGGGGATTTCAGTGGAGATGTTGAGGTTTTAGAACATATTAAGATTAGTAAGGATTACCAGATGCTTTTGTGGGCATACAGGTGCAAAAATCCCCAGGGCTTGATGAGTTGTATCACAGATCCCAATGGGAGGCAAGGGAGGCGTTTGCTGGGGCCCTGGTAGATATATTTAGTACTTTGTAGGTGGATGGGGGTGGGGTTGAATCTGATTGACAACCAAAAATGAGAGGCATAAACTGAGTAGATCATGAGAATCATGATCTTCCCCATGGCAGCCATGTTTAAGACCAGAGGGCATCAGTTCAAGGTGAGAAGTAAAAGGTTTAGGGGCAATCTGAGAGAAGAATTTCTCACCCAGAGGGCAGTAGATATGGAATGTGATGCTTGAGGGGTTGGGGGAAGCAGGTGCTCTTGCAACATTTAAGGAGCATTTGGAGGAGTACTTAAAATGCCAAGACATTGTGGCTGAAGAGCCTGTTTCTAAGCTGTATGACTACGACTCTATAACTTGGCTTGGCTGCCATGTGCCCATCCTCCATCTATTTTCTCATTTGTCAGCAGTGTCCATGCATATGTGAACAGTAAATATCACCAGAATCAAGCAGAAAAATACAAAATGATGAATGGTTTGTCAAAAAAAACAAGGTCAGGCTAATTGAACTGGCTGAAAGTTAAGGTTGAGTTAAAAGCAGCTACTAGAAAAGCTGATATATAATTGAGTTGATAGAACAGCACTTGAAGTCAGAACAGCAACACAAACAAGATGGTGAGTGCAGTGGCTGTATCTAGTTCAGCCAAGAGGACCTCATAGAAAATGAGTTCCCTGCTTGCAGCTGTTAATCTGGTCCAACCAGGGAGCCCTGGCTGACAGATAAGAGCAGGAGTGCCAGACATCCTGTTCACTCTGACAGCTGGCTCTGAGGGAGCTGGACGGTGTCAAGGATTCTCCATTGTAAATATAAGGTGATCTCATGATGGGATAGCATCATCTGTAGAGTTATTTCAGTCGTGAGGAGAGAAAAGCACACTCCTGAAGAAATTTGATTGCAACATTTGTCTTTAAGTTCGGGTAAGCATTTTTGGCATCATGTCACTATCTGGGAAGCTTGACTCAGTCGATCCTGCTGTCGAAGACTACACACAGTATGTGGAAAGAATGTGTTATTTTTGTGGGCAAATGACATTGTGGCAGATGAAAAGCAACAAGTAATTTTCCTGACAGCTTGTGGACCCACAGCTTTATCAACGATTAGGAGCCTAACTTTCCCTGAGGCACCAGGCACTAAAACCTTTCAAGAGTTGACGGATTTAATTAAGGTATATTAGGACCCCAATCCGCCTCTAATTCTGAGATGCTATCCATTTTATTCAGCAATTTGAGAACCGGGGAACCATATCAGGATTTTTGACTAGGTTTAAATGACTGGCAGAGGCACGTGACTTTGGTTTAACCTTTAACGAGATGCTGAGAGACTGTCTGATATATGGGATTAATGATGTAACCATGCAAAAGCACCTACTAGCTGAAGCCCAGCTGGACTTTAAGTTGACACTACAACTGACTTTATCTTTGGAAAATGCTGCAAGTGGAGCATATGAGTTGCAGGATATTCCGATGGAAGTGGACATCCTCACAAATCCCCAAAACAAAGCCAAGCCTCAGCCAAACAGCTAAACTTTTCTTCAGGATCCAGGCCAGCAAGCCATTGTAGTATATGGACTTGAGACAGCAAAACAGTCCCACTGGACCTAAACTGAGTCAGAGAACTCAGCATCCAGGAGAGCGCACACCCTCGAAAGCCCACCTAGATCTGGCTTCAAAACAGGTAAATTGCTTGGCAATATCCAAATCAGAACCAATCAAAATA